AAATGAGTACCAGGAATTAATTAAATAATTTTCCTGGGGAGTATGTACGGAGAAGTCTCCAGGTGCATGTTCATTTATTAACTTCAGGTGTGGGACCAGGATGAACATGAGAATTGGCATCTCACGGCAAACTGGAAGGCACACAGTGGATCAGTCTGGAAGGTGACATGGGCCCATCCTGAATTTGGACAAGTTCTCGCTACATGTTCTTTTGATCGCACTGCTGCAGTATGGGAAGAAATTGGTAAGTAACTTAAAATAACAGAAATCAAAATGTATTACATTGTACATTCTTAGAAAAACTTTTATTCAATAATTATCACAAAGTCTGTTGAAATTCCAGTGGGAAATTATAGTGGTTATCAACATCATACTTGGTCACACTACACCACTATCATCAAAGAAGTGACCTTGTTCTAAACATAGAACAGTTCACAGAAAAGAAGTCCTTTGGTCTTAAGTGTTATGAGAGTCACATCTGAAATCTCCTTATTTGATTAGAAATGCATATTTGAGAAAGATGAACATCTCCTCCTAACTTGTACCCATGATCAAAATTTCTGAGCATTCAGTAAGTTGATTCTGGACATAATGACTTTCCACCTGTTCTTTCTGTCACATTACAGTTGGTGAAGGTTCAGGGCCTGGTGAACGTGGAATGAGACACTGGATTCGGAGAACAAACCTGGTGGACTCTAGAACTTCTGTTACTGACATAAAGTTTGCTCCAAAATCTTTGGGACTTCTTCTGGCTACCTGCTCAGCTGATGGAGTTGTACGAATTTATGAAGCCCCTGATGTTATGAATCTTAGTCAGTGGACACTTCAGCATGAGGTGTCGTGTAAACTTCCAAGCAGCTGCCTTAGCTGGAACCCTTCTTTCTCTAGGTCAGAACAAGTTTTGTATTAAAGTAATTAGTTTATTTACCAAATTAGTTTTCATGAGTCATTGAAAAGTTGAAATTCTGGTGTTGTTTGGTTGATTAGGGAAAACTGTGTAACCAGATATTTGAAAGTGATAGTAGAGAAGCAGAATTACATTCATGAAGAATTTTAAGAGTAGATCAGATTCACTGAAATACTGATTACTGTTTTGTTTAGATTTCTTATCTCCTCATCTTCTGACATAACACCTGAAGACAAAACTGTAATTTTATGTGTTGTGACTGCATCTGTGGTCT